TATTTGGTATTTAGTTTGCATCTAAATATGCTTATTCCACATTCTCCCTTTAAAACCTTGAATTTACATAAAATATGGATATATTATTTACTCTACAATTTTTGGTTCATTTAAAAAGCATTACATCCATTTTAGACTTCAAAGTTAATATATAAAAAAAAGAAAGTGAGCCAAAAATCTTATAACCTTTAAAAAAGAAATATAAATCTTTGTGCCCCTCACTAGGGAGATACTACTTTTCCAAATTTTCCTATAATGTTCATAAGAAAAATTCTTAATATTTTTCTCCAAGTTCCATTGAACTATTATATTTTTCATGTAATCTGATGTTTAATAAATATATGCTATTAGAGTATTTTTTAATACTATAGTATAAAATTCTCCTAATAAATAAAAAAAGTTTGAAGTATAAAAAGAAGGGATAACAACAAATATGGCCCATTTGTGAGCCCAATTTTCATAAATTGACAAAATAAAAGATTTTTTCCTCTAAAGTTAACTTGTCATAAAAAAGATGTAACCAACAATATGTATATATATATATATATATATATATTTTCTATACAAATTAGCATACAACCAAAAATCTCAGTTACTTCACTATTGAAAAAAAAAATGATCTAGCAATTGGAAAATCAAATTTTACTTTAAAATTTTTTGACCATCTAAGTGTTATCTGTAATATAACGTACATTCCTCCTTAAAAACAAATTCTATTGAGAAAATCTCTCTGTTGTTAAGAAAATTTGTAATATACTGCACATTATTTTTTAAAAATAAAAGCGGAAATCTCTTATTGTTAATAGATTAAAATGTTGATCTCCATATATCAACACCTTCTTTTAAAACTGAACCACACACCCTTTATTCAATTTGTACAAACTATTTTCAAAATTTAATATGACGTTATGTTTTTTAATTATTTGGAATAGTTTGACTGGCTTATACATTTTAATAGGTGATAAAGGGTACGTATACCAACTAAATTGGCTCTAATTGTTTTTATTAGTCTATGTGGGAGTATTGTCATGTAACATTCCATCATTGTTTTGTTTGGAGCATCCTGATGGGTTGAGTCTTTCTATGGTATGTAACAATCCATCGGTGCAGTACATAATAGCCTATCATAACTAGGTGAATTAAAAAATCGCGTGTTTTACCAGGTAACATCTTTCCCTAGGTCGCACTGGTAATGGAATCGAAGCTTATGGACTTGTATATAGTACATATAATCCCACGTTCAGCACAATTGTTACTAACAAGCCATCATGATTAGGTCCAAATATCTGCAACAATCCACGTTAACAACATGGCGTGGTCTTTTCATCTCTTGTAGCTTCTACTAGTGTTTGATGCAACAGTAACACACTAACAGATGTTTAGGCAGGGCATCACATTTTTAGCTATGGACAAGTTTTTGTTCCGAATAAAACTTTGGGTTTGTCATCCTTCATTTGCAAAAATCGATCTTATACCACAACATGTAGAAGTAGAGAGTCTACTATGACATTGATTGTGTGTAATAGTGAATTTAGTAAAGTGTAACATTCGTATACTATAGATATATTCTTTGTATCATACTTTTACAAAGTAATTGTTATAAAAAAGGTATAACATAATGTCACACTTTTTATTTCTACATTTACATATAGAACTGGACGTTAGTGAAAAACTTAAGCCTTTGCCTAAAAACTCACCATAAATACCATGTTTTATATGTATGTGTGGACCATTATTCTCCTAGGATGTACGAGTCAACTTTTGCCCCCCTGTTGGTCCCTCATTTCTCTTTTAGTGGCATTGACACCATGGTGGAGATGGAGGATCGATGAGGACATCAGAGCTGCAACTAGCATGCAACAATGGAGATGTTGGCATCACCGCATTGCAGCAAGCCCCCTTGCTTGGCGCTCACGACGCGCTCGCATATAGTGCACAATGCTGCTTCAATTTCATTGTTTCAGTTTGCAGCCAACACCCTTTGTTAAGGATTTGTAATGATTCTAAACATTTGAGAAAATTGATCAATCTGAGGCATCCCAAATTCAATCTAGGTTTGATTTTGAGTGTTTTCATCTGTTGATTTAGGTTTGATTTCGATTGTTTATCCGGATTTGAGGCAATTCGAGTTTTATTTGGGTTTGATTTCAAGTGTTTTCACTTGTTGATATGTGCTTGGTTTCAATTATTTTGATTTGTGCTTTTTATTTTCAGTTTTTCCTGATTTGGATTGAGGTAAGAATTTTCCTAATTTCAAGTGTTTTTTATTTTTAAATGTTTTAAACTATTTTTTTTTTGTTTTTTTTTTCTGAAATTTATTATCTTCAGGTTGATTAATGTTTAGGGTAGTTTGAACATTTTATGTTCTAAAAAACACTCAGGATATCATTTTTTTTTTAACTGAAAGGTACTTATTTGATGTTGTAAAAAATACAAGGTATAAAAAAAAATACAAGGTATCAAAACATGATTTACTATAACATAGGGTACCAAAACGATTTTTTCTTTGTAGGTTATTACAGTTAACAAGACAGTAGTTGGAATATACAACAGGTAACTCAGTAAACTATATTTCGAACCATAGTTTGTTACCATTTGTATGCATATGAATAAGTGTGTGTATATTAGAGAAAAGGAAACAAATACTCTTTAGACTATATGAATCTTGATTTTTATTTTTTACTCTTAATTAATATCATTTTTTATCAATATTATCTTAGTTAAAAGAGTATTAATAAAGAATAAGTGGTAAAAATTTAAATTCATGTACTCTAATTTTCTCATGTATTATGTATTATATACATGTGCGTGTGTTGATGAGATCTTTATTTACTTTTTTACTCTTTCTAACTGATTATATATATTTTTTTATCTATTAAAGTGTATGAGTATGAATTTTTATCTTTTATTATTGATTAATATTATTATTAGTCAAATAACGTAAAAATCTAAACCTATACGCTTTAAGAATAAATTTAACAATTTTTTTTTTCTCGCCAAATTAGCTTGGCAATAATTTGATGGTTAGTCTTTAAATAACGTAAAAATCTAAACCTATACGCTTTAAGAATAAATTTAACAATTTTTTTTTTTCTCGCCAAATTAGCTTGGCAATAATTTGATGGTTAGTCTTTCATTATAACGACTTAACTGAATATTCATCCTTACCGGTTCGACTTAAATTATTTCCACCCAGTTGTGCAGTATGACTAGTATATATACCTTGTTCACTATTAAATCAAATTTTTAATGAAATTTTTTCTTGATATTTAAGTAACGCTGTGATGCTCGATTAGAATTCCTAATTTTCTCTACTTTTTATTAGTTTGGATTTTCGAAAGCGAAAAAGTCATACTTGACTTGAGGGAAAAGTTATAGGGTTGGACTATACATATAAGCGCGGCTGCATTTGATTCTCTTACAAAATACAATAATATTGAGAAAATTAGAAAACATGTACTAACCTCTTTAATTTTGTGTCATTTTTAAAATTTTACCCTGCTATAAGAATATTAAAAGAAAAAAAGTATAAAAATCTTATAATATCTAATTTTGTGTCATTTTAATATCTATTATATATATTTTTGATATGATATAATTCTTGTATGATTTAACCGTTAGAACCCTATCTTAGTATCTTTTTCATCCATTACTATAAAAATTTTCTATTTAGATAAATAAATAATTTTTTTAAGAGTATAAACCATTATATTATATTGAAATGATATAACAACAAGTGTAAAAAAAGATGAAATTTTATTACATTTCTAATGCATCAAACGATCGATATCTCAATTCCTATGAACAATGCAATGAAAAGATTTCAGCAATTGAAAAATTAAAAAAAGTTAATACTCAAAAAAATTTCGATGATCTAAAAAATTGGGTCTATTTTTTAATATTATGTATGTTCTTCCCTAGTTATGATTTCTCATTTCTTTTCTGGGACCTTTTTTCTTTTAAAAATCTTTCTTAATTGACTACTTGACCAATAATAATAAGGGATATTCTCTAGTAATTCTTATAAAAATAAATTACCGATAGTCTCTTAATTTTTAGCTATTTGTATTAAAATTTGTATGTTCTATATATTTTTATAATTTGATGTTATTTTGATCAGATTTCACTGGTAGGACAGACTACTAGATAAACTCTAATAATAAATAAAATAAGAATTTTTAACTGTGAGATACATTTCTTACTGTTAAATCTGATTAAAACTAAAAATATGCAGAAAAAATAATTTTAAGACAAACACCTACTTATAATTTATTTTTCAGCTCCAACAATAAAAAATCTCATTAATTACAGAAATTGTTTTGTTAAGATTGGTTGAGAAAATCTCTCAACTGTTAAAAGAGAATCAAGGAGGGAGACTCTCGGTATCTCAATATCTTACATTTGAATTCTTTTAATTAAAAAAAATGAGAAAGATTTTTATCACCCACTTTTAATAAACACTAACTTGATAAATACTTTTTTATTAATGTAATTATTTAACTAAAAAAATTATAAATAAAAAATAAATGATAAAAATTCATATTCATACATTTTTAAAAAAATATTTGTCAAATTACTCAAAAAAAAAATTTCTAAATATACACCTCCACCTCCTCCTGCT